AAAATACAACCCAACTTGTAGATCCTAAATTGGGAAATATTTTTTTAAATAATTCTTTTAATGACTTTCCTACAAAAGAGTACAGCTTTGAGTATATGTTATTTTTGAACACCTTCCTATTATTAAATTTTCATTATAAGGCAGAAACAAAAGACACTAAAGGCAAAACCAAATATTAACAAATATCTATTTTCAATTGCTTGAAAAAATAAGATAGCTTAATAAATAACTGAAAGATATAGCACCATTCAAATAAGATATACCTTTTAGATTATGAAACATATGCAACTGTATATCACTGCGTTATTCGGGGTTACCTTACATCTGACCTTGTTGGTATTTCCAGACTGAAAGACACTAAGCTCCAGGTACCTGGTTATTTACTATGACTAAATCTGGTGTTGCTCTATTCTGTTAGTCCTTCAGGAGTAAATTCAATTGAGCACCTGAAGTTGAGAGGCCTGTCCCATTCTGGCCTCCATTCTTTGGAAGTATTCCTCCCTTTTCTCTAGCTAAAGGATCTCCAGGGAGAGGGATGGAGAGGCTACTCTTGAGTGTGAGGAAGAATGTTGCCTTCCCTGGATGGACTTACACTAACTCCCTTTCCTGTTGTAACACTGCTACGTTGGAGATCCTCTTTCTACATCTGCTCACCTTGGCTAAGTTGCCTGTCCTGGTCCTCATCTCCACAGCTCACCTTTCTTAAATGCCCCTTATCTTTAGATTCACTGTACTGTTCTTCATTTTTTTTTGTACCATTGAATATTTTCCCTTCTTCTTCAACAAAATGTAGGTTATTACTCAAAATCCTATCTACTGGTCTCATCTTTTCTCTGCAGGTATTTTCCTTTGTGCCAACCATTACCTCAACCCCAAACTCCATGCTTTAGAAAAATTCCTGAAGGCCTACTCCTCATGTCCAGTTGAAGATACATCCACTTCAGAAATCCATGTCTGTTACCACTTGTACATGCTCTTTGTCTCTCTTTTTCTACCTCTTTCTTCTTGTTATGCCCTCCATCTAGAGTACCTTTGAAACATCAACCTGTTCTGATTTCTGCTTATTTATCAAGTCTTAGGTACCACCTCTGGTGAAGCTAGTCTAGATCTTAACTACATCTGATATCTTCATGATTTGAACTCATTCAGCATCTTAGGGAACTGATTTTACTCCATAGAACATGTAGGTTATTTCTACGATTGTCTTATCTTTGGACTGCATCTTGTAGTTGCCTACCACTATACCACATTTTTATGCTAAGAAAATGAAGCTTGTTTTCCCTGCCTAACCAAGCTGATTATTCTCACAAACTATCAGCCACCTGATGTGAATAAACACAGTAGCAAATTGCATTTTATAGTGTGACACTGTTGTTTTTGCAAAGAAGTGTATGCCAAGTGTGGTTATGCACATATACTTCCTGACTTACCATCTAGGATAAATGATTCTCATATGTAGCAATACTACCAATTCCAGTTTTCACAGACCTAAATTTTTGCCCTGGGAACATCGCCAAGATTTACTTAGAGGAGTATTAAAGGAAGGGAGGGAGAGAGAAGTTTCTCATTTAATTAGCAACTTTGCCTCCCTTATGCCCACTGGATTTACTTTATGCTCTATGATCATAGTTCGCCAAACAATTTTGTCCCAGCCCTTTCCGTGTGACTGCCAACCTACTCCAGCCCATTGAATACTGATCCCTTTTATCTCCCCAGGTAGCTGGGAAGCTTGAGATTTTTTTTTAGTTCCATGGGAGAATTGTTGGCTCTCTTTTATCCAGAATATTCAGGCTCTTGAAAGGAGTAGTCAGGGTGGGTCAGGAGATGATCAAGCTCAGTTTCTCACTGTATCTATACCTATTCCTTCTGATCTTTGGGCACTGGGACTCAACCTACCTATTATTTGAATGTACTGCATACCATTTGTATTATCTCCACTATTCTCAGAAGCCTAAATTTCATGTAACAGGTCCTATAAATTTGGAAGCCTATCCACAGGCCAGATTCAGTTTTTCTCTCATCATTCTGGCTCCATGCAGATCAGAAGATGCATCTGTACTTCTGATTATGTTAAGGGGCTGCTCTTCTGGGAGCTCATAGAAAGCCTGGGTGTCTGGACTGATGGACACTACATTTTAACCCAGTAGAGATGCTGCTATAACCTAGGAGAATGTGGATTTGTAGGAAAAGAAGTGCCTGTAAGGGTGCCCATAAAAATATATTTTGAGTAATGAGAATATCATGAATCCTGATTTTTGTCCTTTTATGTTCTCTATTTAATGCAATGATTATATAATTTACCCACTAGTTTTTGAAAAGAGAAAAATCATCATTCATCCCATTCTTCCAGGTATCCTAAACACAAATCCCTTGCCTCCCTGTTCCTATCTCATGCATGTGTATGTATCCAATGTGCATATACATTCCCACATTCCCTCCACATAATAGACTGAATTTCTTAGAGGTAAATGGTTTTGTGTTCATCTTTACCATTAGACACAGTATCATCAACACAGTGTCATCAACTCTCAATGTTCACTAAGTCAAGTCCATGTGTTAGGATCTCTAAGAATCTTGGTTTGCCTATTATTTCAAATTATTTGTTGATACTTTGATTTTCTGTGTAACTAGATATGAGTTTTCTATATAAGTAGTAATGCTGTTCACAGTGGCACAGTGGCAGCACACCCTTAATCCCGGCAATTTGGGAGGCTGAGGAAGGAGGATAACCAGTTCAAGGCTAGCCTCAGCAATTTAGCAAGACTCTGTATCAAAAAAAAAAGGTAATAAAACTAATAATGTTTCCAAATCACTGGGGAAATGCTAAGATCTATGATTGGTGGATTCTATGGTAAGAGTATATTTAGTTTCATGAGAAACTGACAAACTGTCTTACAAACTGGTTGTGCCATTTTGTATTCCCATCATCAATGAATTAGTTTTCTGTTGCTCAATATCTTTGTCAGTATTTGGAATTGGAATTGTTTTAAAATTTGGTCATTCTAATAAGTTCATAGTGGTATTTCATTGGTTTTTTTTTTAGCCTGCAATTCCCTAATGGCCTCTGATGTTGAACATCTTTTCATATGCTTATGTATCATTAGTATATTCTCTGGTGAGATGTCTATTCAAGTATTCTGCACATTTTAAAATCTTGTTCTTTGTTTTCTTGTTGTTGAGTTTTAAGAATTCCTTTTATATTATTGATAACAACTCTTTGTTGGAGGTGCCTTTTGCAAATGTTTTTTCCTAGTCTATGGCTTGTCTTCTCATATTTTTAAAGAGCAGACATTCTTAATTTTAATGAAGTCCAGTTTATCAATTGTTTCTTCCATGGATCATCCCTTTGGTATTATATCAGAAAAGTCATTGCCATGCCAAAGGTAATTTAGATTTTTCTCTATTTTAACTTATAGTAGTTTTATAATCTTGTGTTTTACAATCTATAATGTTTTAAAATGTGTAGAATTATGTTGGTTTTATCACGGCATACTTTTACCTGAGTCACTGCCTGAAACATATCAAATAATCAGTAAATTCAAGTGTTATGAGTGTGTATATGTGTTATAAATTGGATTACTTAGATCATTTTTATACTTTGAATTGCAAAAATGGCTATAAGAGGAATAAAATCTCAGTAAATATCAAACATCATATGGAAAGAATTCATTATATTGAAACTCGTGAAATTCATAATTCATAATTTTATTACTGTAGTAGATGTTTGTTATAAAAGGCAGAATGGGGACCAATATAGTACTAAAATAATGTTTAGTAAGTTCTTCATGAACTAGTGACAAAGATAGATTGTGTATATTTATATATTCAAATATGAAAAATTAAAAATAAAAAATATAACAGAAGGAAAAAAACATGATTAAAATCTAGAAAGGAAAATTAAAAATAGATTTTATTAAAGTACATACATTAAACTTTTAGCTATTTGTCTATGAAAAGTTCAACGTGATCTGACATTTAACAAACCTTTCTTTCCAACGTGTCACAGTATATTAGGCATCTATACCAAACATGTGCAGTCATGACAAAAGGGAAGTAATGAATAATATTCATGGAGAGTAGGCACTGTTACATTCATTTCCCTGAATAACAAAGATAAAGATGAATGTTTACTCTTCTTTTTCAGGGAGTCACATTCAGGTCCCATATTTAGAGAAGAATGCAGGCTATGAAGACATTTCTAGTGAGAGATTCATTTGGTGCCATCATACAAATTCCACACAAAGTCACTGTCTCAATAAAATCCAACCAATTTAAGAGTAAATTATCATTTACATTTGTTGATTTAAAAAGTCAATATATGGCTGGGAAGAGTGGCGAATACCTGTAATTCCAGTGGCTTGGGAGGCTGAGGCAGGAGGATCAAAGCCAGCCTTAGCAACTTAGCAAGGCCCTAAGCAACTTGGAAAACCCTGTCTCAAAATTAAAAATAAAAAGTACTGGAAATATAGCTGAGTAGTAAAGATCCTCTGGGTTCAATCTCCAGTAACTAACTAAATAAATAAAATAAAAAGTCAACATACAGAAACCCTTGAATTTCTTTACAAACTTGGGGTGCTAGGTTTTGTGATTTTGGTTGGTGTCTTTTCCTACACTTAACACATTAAATAATGGCAGTAGGAACTACACAAGAAGTAATATTTGACTCTTTCGCTAGAGACGCTGATTTTAATTATTTCAGAAAAAAAATTCTGTGGTTCCTGTATTTAAAAACTGTATAGTACATTATAAAATAACTTGGAAACATAACCTCAACCATATGCCTTTCAGGTGAAATCCTACTGACAGGAATGTGTCAACTCTAAGATAGTCCTTGTATTCTGGGAAGGTTCTTTGGCAGTTTTTGTCCCAACTGACTTGTTAGAGGGGATTAAAGAGCCAAGTTTCATTTGGAATTTAACTGCTGAAAATAGTCCAGTTTCTTCATGGAAAAACAATGGAGTTAAAGAACTGACAGGTTTTTAGACTTATTTGTGTGTTCCAGAGAAGATGCTGGCACCAAAATTCATAATCAACAACAAATAACTAGCATCACTGTTTTCTGTTTTGCCTGCACTGGTTCTAAGGATAACTGCTTTCTGTCTTAAAAACAATTAAAAAAAGCCCTTTGAGGCCAGTTCATTTCAAATTGCATAAAAGATATTCTTTACTTACTGCTTAGAACAGTTTGTTATTTCTTTCTCTTTCATTTAAAATCTGCTAAAATGCAATAGTTGTTAATTTTCAACTGGGCATGTCTCTGGAGTCACTTTTCCAATAAGAAAGTTATGTCAAACCATCCAACTTCCTTTTTCGGTTCCTTCTCAGCCAAAGTCTTGTCAGTACAGAATGGTTTGGGTTAAATACTCGGTTATAGGAAATTCAATTCAGAACAAAAAGCAGGTAGAACTTCCTTAGTTGAGGGTTTGTAGGAAGGTTTTTAGAGTTTTTATTCACTGGATCTTTCCCCTTCACATTTCAAGAAAAAAAAATGTTTCCTTTTTCTTCCCTTATTCAGATGAAAGTATAAATGCAGCCTACATATCACTGAACCTCATCTTTTAAAATATTCAGTTTATTGTGTACCATTTGACTCCATCGTGCATAATTTTCTTCTTCTCATTTTTAAGGGACTGCTGTAATGCTGAGAAGTACGAGCCATGTGTAACCTGGGGGTGACCCACTCAGGGGTGCTGCTGCTTTTCATCACAGTCACTCAGTCAGCTCTCAAACCAGCAATGCCTCCCGTGATCAAAGACCAGCCTTTCAACATTTTCTGGGCAGCTTCGACAGTTTATTGTAAGGATTTCTTCAAGGTGAATATGAACCTTCAATCATTTAACATTATATCAAATCCTTTAGAGACTCACAGTGGATCAACAATTGCCATATTCTATCCAAATGAATTGGGATATTATCCTTTTTTCTCCCAAGATGGAAAATCCTTTAATGGAGGAATACCGCAGAATATGAGCCTTTCTAAACACGTTAAGAAAACGGCCGAAGATATTGCCAAAGCTGTCTCTTGGTGGCAGTCGGAAGGACTTGTTATTATTGACTGGGAAGGTTGGAAGCCCCAGTGGGAGAGGAACTGGGGCAGCAGAATAATATATAAAAAGCACTCCTTAGCCTTCACGAGACAGCATCACCCTGAGTGGCCAGAAGCCAAAGTGAAAACAGTTGCCCAACAGGAATTCGAAAAGGCTGGAAGGAGTTTTATGAATGTCACTCTCACATTGGCTTTAGAAATGAGACCAAAACATTTATGGGGCTTTTATCTCTATCCAGATTGCTACAATTATGATTACAGGATAAACCCAGAGTTCTATACAGGTAATTGCCCAAATGATGAGATTTTCCGCAATGACCAGCTCCTTTGGCTGTGGAACAAAAGCACAGCACTTTTTCCTTCAATATATTTGGATAAAATACTAAAGTCAAGTTCAAATGCATTGAAATTTGTTCATTATCGAATTAGAGAAGCCATGAGAATTGCTGAAATGGCTAGACAAGATTATGCTTTGCCAGTTTTTATTTTTTCCAGACCATTTTATTTGAAAAGTATTGAAGTTCTGTCAGAGGTAAGAAAAGGTACATTTATCCACATAAAAAATATAAATTTAGTAGAATGTTTTAAAGTCTAGAAAGAAACATTGTGGGATATTTTCCCCTTGATAATGGAATGCAGTTATATTATTAGAGGCATGCATTTCTTCAAATGTCAACCCAGAATGATGGCAACTAAAAGTGTGCTTAGAGATTTTGGATAATGATTCTTATCAGCTTAGGATTCACAATGGTTTCTTGCAGAACAATTTTAAATTTAAAGTTAAATAATGTAACAGATTAATATTAACCAGGGATACATTTCAGAATCAGCTTCTTAATATGAGAGCATACACAATAGTTCTCCAAGTCAGATTCATACTAAATGGAGCTCTGGGTAAATACTGAAGCAGTTACATTTTTCATTGTATTACATATTTCTGTTTTAATTTATTAGGTTAACTGAAAAATTAGCATGGATCATGTTGATTATTTCTTTAAGAGTCTACAATGTGAGCTAGTAGTATCATTCGATTAAAAGTGATTTATACAAATAGATATTGTCTTTAGGCTTAAGCCAAAGCAGGGTGCAGAGATGAGGGGATGGACTTGTTTGGAAGATAAAGAGTTTGTGGACACTGCAAGTGTTCAAGTGTTCACTGGATCATCACTTTAGGACATTAATGTAAGGATGCAGTCATTATATAGATGGCTATATAGCAAAAACTATTAAATATCCATTCATACCTGAGAACCGACCATTCTATAATTTTAGTACTCTATATAGAATTGTTGAAAATAACACACAGCTCACTTTCTTAGATCATTTATGTTTGAAACAGTAGTAATTCTTCCTAAAAAATATCAAACTTAAACTATTGCCTGAAATATTATTGACTAGGTGTCTTATCATTGTAGGATTTATAAGAGTTATGCAAATGGAGGGTTGATTTAATAAATTTAGGAAAGAAAGAATCCTAGCATCACGGTGACATTGTATCTAATCTACCTCCTACTTACACACAGAATCCTTTTTTTTTTTTTTTTTGGCCTGGCTTCTGTCTTTGCACTTTTTTAGTGGGGTGGTTGCTGTATCAGAAGAAGAACTGCTGTTTGGGGACAATATTAATGCCTAGAAATTTCTTGAGTATGTTGAATTTACTTTGCCTCTAAGTTCAGATCACTAGTTCCCATTTCACCTTCTGGTACAGCATAGAATAAATTAAATCTTTCAAAAGCCACTCTAAATATTTTAAGACACTTATTAGGCTTACCAAAGTGTTTTCACTAAGGTATTACTCAAGTGGCAGATTTCTCAAATCATGCCACTTTTACAAATTCTTTTGGGAAAAAAGAGTAGGTTTGTATTTATTCATTTAAAATAATTTATTGAGTGTCTATAATCTGTTGGGAATAATGTTACAAACAAGAACAGTAGAATATAACAGTAATCCATGAAGTCTAATTTGCATTTGGATTCTGCTTATCTACAAGGATTCATATGCTTTCACTTCTCCCCCAAAACTGTGGTTGACCACAAGGAGTTCCCGGCAGTTCTCTCTGTAGACAATGCTCTTCTTTGCATATGACCTTCTGTGTCTTCCTTCTGGGCATAAAACTCTTTCTCTCTTTTTTGCCTTGTGAATTCATTCTCATTCTCAAAGACCTACCTGAAATTTCACCTGTTCAAGGAAGCCCTCCCAGACTCTTCTATGCAGAATCAAGAATTTATTCTCATTTATATATACTTTCTGGGTGCTACTAATATAGCTATTAATTTATTACATTTGCAACTACTTGTGTACATGTCTGTCTCAAACATCACTCTAAAGAAGTTACTCAAGAAAGGGAACTGGAATCTCTTTACTGCCTAGAATGTTGCCTGGAACATCATAACTTTTTGTGGAATAACTAAGAATACAAGGCAGAATCCTTCTTTCTAGTTCTTTGGTAGTCTTTTGCTTTAGAAACAGAGATGGCATTATTAATGTGTTCTTTACCACAGTTGATGGGTTTAGTCTTATATTATTAAATTATCAATGACTAAATGTGATTTGGCAGAAAATGCTTCTGATACTTCTCTTTTCCAGGAGGACTTAGTGCACACTATTGGTGAAAGTGCTGCATTGGGGGCAGCAGGAATAATATTGTGGGGAGGAAATGAATATTCTGGTTCAAAGGTAAGCAATTATTTCTCTCAGCCTCTTGAATACACTCTAGATAGTGGCTTGAAAATATTCCACATCAGGTCCTTTGGTGACTGACTGTCTGCTCACCCGACTTAAATGAAGTTCAAAGAGTATAGGGATTGGCATTGTTTGAGCACCTACTTTATACCAACCACTATAGTTAGCATAGGTGTAGAAAGAGCACCCTCCTCATCAGGCTGCCCAAAGTGAGAGACTGATTATTTCATTCTGCAGGTCTAATTTGGGGCACATTAATTAACCTCTTGGAGTCTCAGCTTCTGCATATAAAAATAGAACTAGAATTAAGCTGAATATGCAGGAATTTTAGTAAACAAAGTGGCATTATATATTATAATACACTATATGTTATGTATGATGCCACTATATATGACATACGACAAAGAAAATATTTGTACAGAGGACAAAGAAAATGATCTAATATTTAAAAAATAATTATTTCATCTACACTGAAGGTGGATGCTCCATAAATGATTCTTTATTTTTCTGATTACTGTGACAGAAATATGCATGGGAAGTAAACTATTTTTATGTAAAGGTTTATGGACAATTTTCTTTTCTCATTTCACAGTAAGAACACTTAACATGAGATCTATCTTAAATTTTAGCAAAGTTCAAACACATTACTGTTAACTATAGATATCGTGTCATACAGTACATCTCCAGCACTCGGAACTAAGATGAATGAATCTTTGAATAACAACTCTCCATTTTCTGTCCTCTAACCCTTGACCCCTACTATTGTATTCTCTTCTTCCATAAGTTTGACGTTTTAGAACCCTTGTATAAATCATGCAGTATTTGTCCTCCTCTGATTGCCTTATTTAAGTTAGCATAATGTTTTCTGGATTCACTCTTATGTTGTCACAAATGGCAAGATTTCCTTCTTATTTTATTTGGTACCAGGGATTGAACCTAGAGGCATTTAACCACTGAGCCACATCCCCAGGCCTTTTAAATATTTTATTTAGAGACAGGGCCTCACTAAGTTGCTGAGGCTGGCTTTGAACTTTGAACTTTCGAGAGTCCTCCTGAGATGTGGGATTACCGGCCTGTGCCACCACACCTGGCAAGATTTCCTTCTTTTTAAGGGTGAATAACATTCCATTGTACATATGTATCACAGTATCTTTTTCCACTCATCTGTTGATAGATACTTGGATTGTTTTCATACTTGGCCATCATGAGTTCTGAAGTGAATATGGTCGTATAGATCTTCAAATTCATGACTTCAAGTGTTTTGGATCTGAACCCATAAGTATGTGCAGATATATATCCACAAGGATGTATGCATGTATGCATGCATGTATGTATGAATCATATGGTAGTTCTATTTTTAATCTTTTGAGGAACGCCATAACTCTTCCCATGGCTCCTATACCATTTTACATTCATACCAACAGGGTGAAAGTGTTCCAATTTCTCTACAACCTCAATAACTTTTGTTGTTGTTGTTGTTGTTATTATTATTACTAAATTTTAGCTACCCAAACAGGTATGAGCTGTTATCTCATTGTAATTTTGATTTACATTTTCCTGATAATTAACAATGCCAAGCATGTTTTTATGTCTGTTGGATATTTGTATGTCTTTTATTTGGGGAAATGTTTGTTAAAGTCCCTTGCCTATTTTTAAAAATTGGGTTATTTGAATATGTGCGTGTTTTTGTTTTTCTTTTGCTATTGAGTCATGGTAGGAGTTCCTTACATGTTTTGAAAATTAGCCTCTCATCAGAGATAAGAGTTGGCTTATATTTTCTATCATTGCATGGACTCTTTTCATTCTGCTAAGTGCTTTGCTCTCCCTTTGCTGTGCAGAAGCATTTTAGTTCAATGTTGTCCCACTTGTACATTGCTGCTTTTGTTGCCTGTGCTTGTGCTGTTCTACCCAAGAAATAATGGCCAAAATCGATACCAAAGAGTTTTTACCCTATATTTGCTTTTGGGAGTTTTAAATGCCCAATTTTTAATCCATTTTGAACTGATTTGTTTGTATGGTGTGATGCAGAAGTCCAGCTTCATTTAGACCAGTTTTCCCAAGTCTATTTGTTGACCGGGTTGTCTTTTCCCTATAGTGTGTTTTTGGCACCCTTTTCAAAGATCAGTTGGCCATGTATATGTGGGCTTATTTCTGGACACTATTCTGTTCCTTTGATCTATATATTCTTTTTAAAATTTCAGTACCATAGTGTTTTAGTTACAGTAGTTTTTTAACATACTTTGCATGGGAAGTGTGAGGCTTCCAGCTTTGTTCTTTCTGAAGAACACTTTGGCTTTTCTGAATCTTTTGTGGTTCTATAGGATTTTAGAAAAAAAATTTGAATTCTATAAAAAAAATACCATTGATATTTTTATGGGAATAGCATTGAATCTGTAAGTCACTTTGAGTAGTATGGGAATTTTAACTATATTATGTCTTCCAATCCATGAACATGGGATGTATATTTATTTTTGTGTCGTTTAATTTCTTTAATTAATGTATTGTGTTTTTTCAGTGTAAAAATCTTTAACTTCCCTGGTTTATTCCTATTTTATTATTATTTTTTTAAATATTTATTTTTTAGTTGTAGTTGGACACAATACCTTTATTTGTTTTTATGTGGTACTGAGGATTGAACCCAGGGACTCACGCTTTCTAGGCAAGCACGCTACCACTGAGTCACAATGCCAGCCTCCCTATTTTATTCTTTTTGAAGCTATTTCATTTTTAATTGGTTCTTCCCAGTTATACATGTCAGTAGATTTCATTCTGATGAAATTATACAAGCATGGAATATGTCTTATTCTAATTATAATCCCAGTCTTATGAGTGTGCATGGTGATGGGATTCACTTAGGTATTTTCATATGTGTATATAGGAAATTATATTAGATTTATTCTATTGTCTTTCCTATTCCTATTTCCTCTAAAATGGATTGATTTCTCAATTTCCTTTTTAGATTATTCATTATGAGCATATAGAAATTGAACTGATTTTTGTATGTTGATTTTGTATGCTGCAACTTTACTGACTTTATTTCTATCACTACATTTATGTATGTGTGTGTGTGTGTGTGTGTGTGTGTGTGTGTGTATATGGTCTTTTGGGTTTTATACATATAGGATCTTATTATCTACAAACAGGATAATTTTACTTATTTTCTTCCAATTTGGACTCATTTTATTTTATTTTTCTTGCCTAATTATTCTATGACTTCTAGTACTATATTGTCAGAGTAAACATCATTGTCCTTTTCCTTATCTTAGAAGAAAAGTCTCCAACCTCCCACAGTTGACTATAATGTTAGTTAAGTTCATTTTTTTCCTATAGTTTTTTATTGTTTTTTTCCCCCTAGTTTGTTGAGAGTTTGTAAATCATAAAAGAGAGTTGAATTAATGGAAACAAATGAATAAGTCGGGTATATTTATTTGGATAAAGATTTAAATTAGAAGTTAAGAACAGATACCCTGAAGTTCAGCAGTGTTTGATATAATGGTGAAATGCCATTTGTCGAGTCCTAGGAAACTGGTGACCAGCTACTGGTAATGAGATGGAGACAGGAAATCCACTCATCCGATGAAACAAGTAGCAACTACAATGGAGCTTCCAAGAATAGAAAGGTGACTGAGGATGTAGAGAACTGGAGTAACAGGAAGCATGGAGGAAAGCATAGGAAAGAAGAGCACCTCTTAGTGCTCCATCAGCTAGCACTTAACAGGGCTGCACAGCTGAATGGTCTAAGAAACAAGGCAGTGCCACAGTGCCTTGTTTCTAAATTGATGACTGAATTGCCTGTTGGCAAAAACATTTATGGTTAGGCTTATAATGCAGAAAATTGCTGTGGCTGTATTAGTAAATCTTAAGACACAGTGTTCTAATTGCTATTTTATAATTTGTTTGGAAATATATTTTAAATTTTTTTCTTTGACCAAGGTATTACTTGGGAGAGCATTTTTAATCTGCGAAAAACTAGGAAATTTTGGCTTACCTCATTTATTATTAACTTATATATACTGTGTTTTGAATGGATTGGGAGTGACTAGTTAGGAAGCTATTGCAATAGGTGAGATTTGGTAGTGACCTGAACCAGGGTGGTAGCAATAGTTGAATTCTGGATATGTTTTGAAGGTATACTGAAAAGGATTTGCTGATGGACTAAATGTGAATAGAAAAGCAGTTAAGAATGACTCCAAGGTTTTGTTCCTGAGGCATTGAAAAGAGGAAGTTGGCACGTGCAGAGAAAATAAGGCTGCCAGAGTTGTAGGGTGGAAAGTGGGTCAGTGGATTAGATTGAAATACATTAAGTTTGAAATGCTTGTGAGACATCCAGATAGAGATATAAAATAATTAGGTGAGTAAGCAATCAGTTCAGGGATAAGGTCAGGGAGATTATACGTTTGGGAATTATACTTAAAGCAATGAGTTGGGATGAGTTTATCCAGAGAAAGTGTACAGCTATAGAAGACAAAATGTCCAAGACTTGAGCCTAAGACACTTCACAATCAAAACATACAAAAGATGAGCAGAAGCTGCTAAAGAATACTAAAAAGAAGCTTTAGTGGGTTGGCTAAAGAAAAACAGGGCAATGTAATATTCTGGAAGTTAAGTGAACAAGGTGTTTCCTGGTGTGGGACTGAGAAAGACCAGGGGACACCCAAGTTGTATTTGATTGTATTTGCTTGGGCTTATGCTCTCTCAATTATAGCTCCCCAAATTCCTTTTTCTCTTTCCCCTCCCCTTCTTTCTTTACTGTTTCCCTATTTCGCCTCCTCCTCCATCTTTAGTTCAATGGTTTTCTTGTTTTATTTTATTCCATCATTCTTAGAAACCTCTTCAGATGGCTCAGACAGGGAGCCTTGTCCTAATTAAAAATAACATTTTTTCCTAAATAAAGTATGAAACTGGCTCAGATCAATTGTGTTTGGAACAAATAATATTACTCACATGATTTTCAGAACCTGCTATTTTCCCAAATGTTACCTTGTTTAACTACCTGTCATTAAGAGCTTTATTCTGTTTTATGATTCTTCATTTGAATCTTCCGTTTACCTCAGGGAATTGTCTCCAGATGATCTTCATGTTCGTCTCCCCCTAGAAATGATACAAAACTTGTTTGGATAAGACTCTTCCCAATCAAAGGTGTGGCTCATCGTTTCTGTGAACATATAAAGCTTATCCTTACTTAAATGATTAATCAATGAAAATACTCTTCTTCGTTCACTTTACCAACTGCAAAACTTCAGGCATTAATTCCACCTGGATTATAGAACCACATTTTGAGAGTGCTTTAAGCAGATTTCTATTTTTTCCTATAGGAGACCTGCTTATCTGTGCAACAATCTATTCAAGGGCCACTGGGACACTATGCTGTTAATGTAACATCTGCAGCCAAGCTCTGCAGTCAAAGTCTATGCAACAGTCATGGAAGATGTGTTCGAAAAACACCTGAATCCTCCTCTTATCTGCATATGCCTGAAAGCAGCAGAAAGAAATATGTTCCACAAAAGAGCTTCAGATTTGTCATTTCTGAAAAGAGCAAACTGCAGACAATAATGGACATGAAGAATAGATTTGTGTGTCACTGCTATTATAGCTGGGGTGGAGAGTCTTGCCATCTTCCCTACTCAGATTTCTTGAGTTGGAAGAACAAGGCTCCTGATGCTAACTTTAACTTCCCAGTTTTTCTTGGCATGAACTTATCTGTGATTCTGATGAAATTTCTTTCCTCCCTACTACAATGTCAAACTTTTTTCTTTCAATAGTAAAGAGTAGAAAATGTTGACTGACTTTCTTCAACCTCAGACATCTTCTACAATATTTATTGGATTTAAAATAAAAAAAAATGTATAAAAAGGAATCACTGACTGCATTTATTGATATAGCAAGGACTTCCTGGATGCTTTCTTGGTTCATGATAGTGACAGGGCTAAGGAAATGACTATGCCTGTTCTTCGGGGAGCTTAAATTATTGTGAGAAAATGAATAATAATAAGTAAACTATGAATACACTAACACACATAGTCCTGATGGTAATAAGTGCTGTGGAGAAAGTAAAGGAAGGTAAAGGAATCAGGAAAATGAGAAAGCACTGGGAATTTATACAGGGTAGTCAAAAAAAGACTCTTTAAGATGATGCTCAGAAGGTTGGAGGAGCAGGTCAAGAGAATATATGGGGAACGCTTCCTTAGAATAGTGAACATCGAATCAAAAGAAAACAGCTGCTTGCACTCCAGCAGTTAGGAATTCTTAAGTAATAGAAATGACCCCAGGATACCAATTATAAGTGTGAGGGACTCTATGAGTAAATGCTGTAGGATCTAACTTTATCTAAAGTGTCTTAGATATTCATCAGGCAATCATCAATATCAGAAGATAAGGCCTATCAGACTCCCCATATAGTGGAATTGATGTGGAAAATTTTTTTGTTTGATACTTGGTCTATTCAAGTTTATTGTTTATTACCAATTTATCAATTCTCAGTGGATGGTAATTTAATTCACTTGAGAAATTTACCTGGTCTCTTGATTTGATCAAATTGTTATCTAAATAATTTTCTCTCATCAAGACTCCAAAGAGATTATAATAGTCCAAATGTTATTTCCCTCCTCAGGTTAGGAAAGCTATTTTCCTGTCTGGCATTTCCCAAATATCACACTTGCAAAACTGACACAGAGTTTTGTCAGGCAAATCACATTTGAATTCCTATTTTATTAGTTCGTCCACTCATTAGTTATTCTTTCATTCATTGTTGGGAGAAGTAAAAGTTAAAAAAGGCAGTGAAATATACTAAGCCAAATTTGGAACTATTTGATAAGTTTCTATATCTTGTTGATATCCTATTGCAACAAGGCTGCAATTCTAAGAATTAGATTCCTAGACTCAAGCATGACATATTTAAGTTGGTACTAAACCATTATAAGTGAAAAAGAATTTGCTTTTCTATCTTTCCACTTATAATTCTTCGACAACTGTTAGATAAGGGTTTGGATAGTAAACATATTCCAATGAAGCAGGATAAGGCAAATATTATTAAATATTATCACTATTTTGAAGATGAAACAAATACTATTTTCCACTCACATGGAACATGTGACATAGTCAATTCTGTCCAACCATCAGTGAATACATCAAAGGTAGAATACACATCAGTCCATTGTTTTATCTTACAGTGCAGCCACAATTATCAGGGTATTAGAAGGTTTGAGGTAGGGAATGAAAAGGGGAAATAATAAATACATAAAAGAAAATAGGAAATATCCCAGTTCTACCACCTATATATAATCATTTAACTTTTTTCTAAGAAAATATTATTAGATTTTATTTTACTCAGATTAAAAGGCAGCAAAAGAAAACTAAAATGGAAGGAACTGACACATTTTTAATAATGGATTTTTCAAATTTTGTTGTGTATAAAACAATCTGCTCAAGTTAAAAATAGGTCAGGATAATGAAAAACATTCAGTTTTGTCGTGATTTATTTTGACTTGCATAAGTTTAGTAAATGAAGCATCTTTTCTAAGATGTTAAGTAAAATCTGTTAGAAACCTGAAGAGGGCTTGTCTCAGTCCTGAATTACCTAAAGACAATTTGCCTGTATCCAGGGCAGCATTGTTTTTTTACCTTTTTATTAATTGTTAAAACATCATAGCACCTTTTGTTCAAACACAAAACTTTTTGATCAGATACCCAGTTTTCCCAATTGTGAAAATGTAATTGGTCCACATGAGTCATTGCTTTAATCAAAAGGAATGTATATCTTCATCTCACAAGCAGAATGTGATAATCATAAACTTTGGTCCTTTTTACAATTTGTGTCATGTGGATTTTTATATTGAAGACATTCTTTACAAAGCTTTTTGGTGTTGTAATTTAAATTCTCATCCTTATCTGAGGATAATTTTATTTCAGTATTTTTCAGAGGATTTTATTTCTTCAATTTTTCTGTTCATTTATTAAATTACTTGGTCCTTCTACATGAGTACTCTGTGTTCCTTTCCTCTCAACTATTCTGCCTTTGTCTGTTTTGTTTTTTTATTATGAATTTGTTAATTTTATTTTTAGAATACTATATTTTGATACTCATTATTAATTATAAGAAACTCTTTTTCCAGGGACTACTGTAATTACTCTTTTCTCACAGTAACCTTGTTTTGGCTTGTAGATTCAACAGCTGATTAAATTTCTTTGAAAATACAAATTAGATTTTTTAAAAAATTGTTGCTATTATACATTTTAGCCTGTTTCATTTTCTTTGGAATAGCTGTTCTTTTGTTAATTTATTTTCTTTCACATTGTTGGTCAGTGTTAAATATCTGGAAATCTTTTATCATCATTTTATTGAAAGACTATAGAGACTGACAAAATCTACCATGGGAATTTCTCCCTTCCCACATGTGTTTGAGAATAGTTTCTTATCAGATTTCTTGTGTGGCATGGAGGATGCCCTCTGAGAAAGGGGTTTGGGCACATTGATGAGTAAGATCCCATCTGGGGCATGTGAGTGGAAAATAGGCAGGTTGCTAGGAACCCCCATAATTATCAAAGCAAAGAGAAAATTATCATGGGAGAGGAGTATAATTCCCTTATGAGTTGAACTGCCTTTTTCACTTTTATCTCATATGCTCAGCAGAGAGACTCAGCTATATTCATTTTAGCTCTACTTTTGGATTTGGTCCAATATACAAACTGAACTCTGTATAGGAAGGGATATTTAAGATATCCTGAGGTCAAATGTCTTTGCTACTTGCTATTGTGTGTACTCCTGGGAAGTTGCATGCTCTGACTTGTTCTGCCATATTAGAAACGATATTTTAATTGATTGCTCCAATAAATTGTCTCTCTATCCACTTTCATTATAGGTATCTAAAGATTTCTCTTTTAATGGAACATCTCATACCTCTAAAATAACTTTCTACTATGGTCTTTTTCCCCCTCAACTTAAAAAAATTTTTAGCTTTTCCAATTTCATCTGTTTTATTGTTTGAGTCATGTCACCCCCTTCTTGTTTTCAGCTTTTTATTGTATTTTGTCTAATGACATGTGCTGAAAACGACTCAGTAAACAAACACATGTGGTTGGCTCACCATCTTGAGCCATTAGTTCTAGTAAATTCATATTATATTTTCTCAGGATGACAACGCCCCACTAAGTCAATATTCTGTTCCCATTAAGACTAGTACATTAGGATCTATTCTTAATAAATATTGTAATACATAAAGCACTTGGCTCCTTTTTTTCTCTTAAATCTGCAAATCTTGAATATATGGTTTTCTTTGCTTTCCTATCATCCAACTAAAGTTTCAATCAGTGTTTAGTTTTTCTTCTTATGCCAGTGAATTTAAATTGAGTATTTTCAGAAAGCAATGGTCACTTATACCAAGACACTTCTAAGAGAGTCTGACTTTAGTTATAAAGAGATTTAATGCAGGCCTACAGTTTAACTTGGAGGACTGAGTCACCCCCGTAATGACATGTTTCTCTGAACTGGCCAGGCATCCTTTGCCACTCAACCTCTGCTGTGCCCCAGGTGACTAGAGGAACAGCAGCAAACAAAAGCAAAGGTAAAAACATACTTTTCTTTCCTGTTCAAAAACCTTTAAAGATTGTTTTAGAAATATTTTGTCCTAAAGCAGTTGGAAAAAAAATTCATTTTCTTGGGCTATTTCTATTTCTCTTTAAGTCTAACTTTATTTACTATGCAAATGTATCATTTTTCAAAATGAGAGTTTGATTTTATGAACCCAGAACCCTAAAACACACACACACACACACACACACACACACACACACACACACACATTTTTTTAAATTAAATTTTAGTTAATTTTAAAATCTATTATAAATTCATATTTATAAATGTTCTCACTTTAATGATTATTTTAGGCTTGTTTTCTCTCCTACATGTACAGTCTACCTGAAATATAGATTTCTGTAGTATGTTGGGTTATTCTAGCCTAATACTTAACTGGTGACTGGTGATTAAGCAAAGCAGGTTAATAAACTAACTGCAAATAAGTCACAGGGACACAGGGCTTTATGACCCAGCCACACTTTAATGTTTTTATTATGACTGTTATTTGTGAAGAATTCCTTAAGCTAACATTACAGACACAATTGTGTTCTATTAGACTAGAATGCCTTTATCTGATAAAGATTTGTATGTTTTTGTACAATTTTTAATGAAGTACGGTTTTTCACAATTCATTCCATAATTCTTATACTCACCATGAGTATAAGAGGACTCTTATTTAGAACAAATATTGTAGTTTTAAGGAAATACGCAATATCTAAAAGGGTTTAGAAAATGGATATATTTTGGTCAGAAAAATGTTTCAAATTTTCTTTCCAAATATTAATAAGGTGACTCAATATTTAGAGATGATAGTCAATATGCACTTTTCAGAAGAAAAATCACTTTGTAATTGGTAGGAGGATAAATACACATACATATATATAAATAGATAGGTTTTTCCTGAAAAGAAAAACTGAACAGTTTTTTTCTCATACTGAAACAGTATGAGAAAGATAAATCTTAAATTCATTTAATCCACTGGAGAGAGAAAAATCTTAATAAGAAACTAATGATGGGGGAAAAGCTGTTTATTTCAATGACTACATATATCAAAAATAACAATTTGAAAAAATATTAACTGAACAAGATAGTTTAACAATAAAACTTGGTATCTCTAACTCCTTCATTCCCACATCGTTAGCAACTAGTCTGCAGACTTCCTTTCCCTAGGCACCTCACATTAAAACAAATCAAAGCAGAAACCTCCTAAGACAAAACCTTTGTGTCTGCATAGGCTTATACTGACTCGAATTACCTTACGATCATTTTATTCTTGATTTCTCCCT